ACTTAATTGGCAATTATGTAAGTAACATATTTTCTAATCACAGAAGATATTCTTTTATGTGCGTAAGCTTTCCGTATCAGAGACGGATTTATTGCAATGGAAATTTATTGTCGTTAAATATATATGATTGATTGATTTCCGAAAGATTTGACCACTTTATTTCATTCAAAAGTATTCAACCTTATAAATTATATGTAGAAAAAGATATAAGAACATTTGTGTAATGTAAAAGATATATTGCAATAATCAAACTAAAATGTATGTATTATATTTCTTTAAGACAAACTTTAGATTTAAGAAGAAAAAACCAATTTTATTACATGTTACAATCATGTAATGTTTCATTATACGTATTCAAGATTCTCGATATTCTTTTTTTAATACAAACATAGAATGTAAATCAAAGCAAATAACGTAACCGGATTTTCTGCGATTCTCTCTCTTCTTTTTCATCACAATTTTGGTCGACCTCAATCTTAGAAAATCTTGTGAGTAACAGTTACACAGTGGAATAACAGAAAGAAACGAAACGATCATGACATGGTAATGCAATATATATTGCATTATTGAATATTTGCTAAAACTTTTGGATTATCTTATCAAAACATAGTACAATTATATAAAAAAGTCTAGAAAAAATATTCAACTTTTGCAATATAATTACTAGCACATTTAATGATTATTAAATGTATTTTACCATAAGAATTTAAAGTCATAAAATTTACTTATTTATAAAATTTATTTTAATTTGTAATAATAATATATATTATATTATTACAAATTATAGTATTAAAAATAATATTATTAGAAAATTAAAAAATAGACACATTTTGATTGTAATTATGCGTATCATTGCGACTTTATTTTTTCCTACATAATATTTAATCTCTCAAGAACTATATTATATCATAATATTAATTATGACATAATAAACAATATAAATACAAATTTAGTTTATTTTATCAGCATATCCTGAAAACAAAATAATGACACAAGATGTAATCATATACCAAACATCAATCCTTGATACCAAAATAGATATCAGTTAAATAGATATCAAGTGATAAATTTTACTTGATATTTGATGAGTATCAAATAATAAATAAGACATTTACTCGATTATTGAATATTGTCTTTCTTGAGATGTTTATGATAGTAATTTTTGTAAATTAATATTTCTCAAATTTTTTAACTAGGATATTTTTTATTTTTTTCCATGGAATATTAGAATTTTATAATATAATTATAATATTCCATAAAATAATAATTTATTATATAATAATTATATCCAGTGCATTTAGCAACTAGCCATAACATTTATTCAAACCATAAAAATTTTTCGAAAATTTTAATATATTTCTTTTTAAATAAAAAAATATAGCTAATCATGTAATTATATTAAACAATACTCGTTTGCTCAAATAAATAAAAATGAAATAAAAAAATTAAATAAATAAAAATAAGATAAAAATAAAATTTAAAAAATGTTTATGAAATGAAATAAATATTAAATTAATTATTTGTAACGTTATAACCAATATATCGATGTTTATTATGTATGTTCGAAAAAAAAGAGAGAGAGAGAAATATTATATTTTTAATTTTACAGAATATTTTATTTTTAATTTTAATTTCATTATTCGAAAAAAATATAAGTATATTAAATTAAGGAAACAGTAATTTAGTCTAATACATTTTATACTTTTACTAAACTTTATTTAAAACAAATGAAATATATTACAGTTATTTCAAAGATAAAAAAAGTAATATTGAAAGAATAATTACAAGTTTTTTAAATTATTGATTATCTTTACTGATTACTTAAAAGAAATGTTGAAGGTATATGTGTACATTTTAATCCAAACATTTTTTTAAAAAATGCACAGCTTTTAAATTATAGATATGTATGTATGTAGACATTGAAAAAACAACATTTGTAAAAAATTTGTTGAAAAATTTGTAAGAA